GCCCACAAAAAGTTCAAATCTTCACTCAGAATAATATTATAATAAGTAAAAAGTAATTTAATAATATAGAAACCATAAAACTGTGATGTTTTTTAAAAATATAAGTGTTTATAATTTGTATAATTAGGTACCTACCTAAAAGGTTACATCATTATGGTCGGTATAATTAATTATTAATTGTAGTATAAAACAGTTAATTATTAATAACAATAAATTACGATATAAAACATAACTTTACTGATATATTAATTTGATTACGTATAAGTAGGGTTGTAGATATTTTGTATAAAATCAATTTGTATTATTGTTGTGACTCATACCTTTTTTTCTTAAAGAACTTTAATTATCAAGCGGTTAAAATTATGAACTTAACACTTTTTTTTCGTCTTCAAATAAATATATTTGATCATAATATTTTGTAATAATAAGTTATTAAATCATTTTTAGATTTAAATAGACACATAGCACTTATAATAATATGTATCCTTTCCACATTGGCTTTTATCATTACAAATTAATTAAGAAGAAGCAAGAATAATTATTTTAAAAGGTGAAAATTATTAATTTTGTTTACTCCAATAGTGTATTTGTGTAACTGACTCTCTCTCGAATGTCCTCGATGCCTACTACATTAGTACAAGATCCATCAATATCAATAATCTTATCATATTAAAAACTTGCGTTAGCAATAATGACTATTGTTTGTAAGTTGTAATAGTATTCATTATTAATAATAATATTTAGACATATTTTTCAATAAGCCGCAGATTAAAACAACATAACACCCATTCGTCTTTTTAGGAAATAAAAGGACGAACAAAGAGCCGTTACTACCTCGAAAATTCCTTTATTCCTTTATTTTTTCTTTATTCGCCCTATACCTCGAAAATTCTCATAGATGAAAATCGTGAATACACGAAATGCGTAATACTATTATATTTACAATAAAACCATAACATTTAAATTCTAGTTTGTCAAATGACTCAAAAAGTTAGATATATTAAGTTAATACATTTACATTCAAATGAAGTTGTTCATAACGCAATTTGTATGTGTATGTGTACATTATGAACTCAGTATGAATTTCTCTTAAAAGAAAAAAAACAATACAGTTAACTAAAAATAATCTGTATCTAATTAATATTTCAAGATAAGCAATAACAATTATTATAACTCCATAGTAATGCCTAAGTACTAAATTAATGGATATTAAAAGTAGATGAAACAATTTTTTAATACTTCAACATTACAATAAAAGTTATTTGTCGATTATCATTAACAATTTGCATAGGTTAAATTTATATTATAACACGTAAATGATACAAAACAGAATAATAAATTTAAAATAAACACTTACAAGGTAACAATTCGAGTATTTACAAAATAGGTATACCTACGTCTTATAAAATGTTAATAAATGGTCACGACGAGAAATTAAATAATAATAAATTCTTTATAAGTTGTTTCATTTAACAATATCTCATAATAATCAATAGAAAAGTAAAAAATTTTATCTTCTATTATTTAATAATTAAAGTGAATAGCGTTGTCTTGTTAAAAAAATATTAGGACTGACTGTTTTTCAGTTACTTATCTGTGTTACATTAAAATGAGAGTTTAAAGGCCGAAAGAAATATTATGATTGCAAGCTATTAATCTTAAGTAATGTAAAAATGTAAATACTAAATGCATAACACTTCAACCATTTTTTAAAGCTGAAGATGAGGTCAATTTTCGATATATTTTTTAATACGCTTAGCTCAATATTCTATCAAATATATCGTAACTGAAGTAAGAAGTAATTGTTGTTTAAAAAAAGTACTTACATAATTTTTTTGAATGTAATTAGTAGTAATTTAATTAATGATAAGTCTTTTACTTATAAAAATAAATTATAAATTTATAACTATAAAACATTTAATACTATCCTTTATGCATTATAAATATAATATAAAAAGATTTAGTTTGTTACTTATTTTAAATTAAATCATAAAAAGTTTAAACTTAACAATATAAAATTTTATTTTTATAAAATCTTAAACGCAAAGACACACCTATCTCTGCTAAAAATTGATTTTTATTATTTTTATTTTTAAATCTACTATATACAATCTATTCCAATTAAATATATCAGTAGGTATGCATTACATTGTATATATTACCTATCACCATATGTTATGTTAGATAAATTAACATGTTTGTTTAAAAATATTTAGCCACTTCATAGGTGGTAGTATTGTATGTAATGATTTCCATCATAGGTGGTTTTCATTTATTCGATACAAAAATATATTTAATATTTCCGATTTTCGAAATATGTCGAGAGTATTTTTGGATAAGTGGATTTCCAGGGAAAATATAAAAAAATTCACGACCTAGTTCCTTTTAACACTCCTCATTTTTGTTTTTACCTGTTGTGGCAACTGCTTTATAAACTACCTATTTATTATTTTTTATCTTTCTCTATTCAACCATTTAATAAGTCGGTCAATGTGATTTACCCGGTCCAAGGTCATTTCAGTGTCTTGGTTGCGTCACAATAAACTACATTATACATTTATATTATACATACAGGATGATACATTTGATTTAATACACTCGATTGTTTAAAATACCTAAATTATTTTAAAAATAGTAAGTCATATAACTTTTATATTAATATAATGTTCCAACACGAACTTAAAAAAATAGGGTCAGCACACAATTTGTAAGATTTCAAGTACTTATAAATCAAATTTAAAGAAAAATATTCTATTCTAGAATTTAAAAAAACGTTTTTAATATGTGACAAAAATGCATTTAATATTCAAAGTTATTTAAAAAACATTTTTTCAGATTAAAAAGTATGAAATTGGGAGTATTTAAAAAATATTTTTTTCCATATTATCTAGTTGAGGTATTACATGTTAAATGGATCATACTATACGCTGTAAATTTACTTTATTTATATATTATACTAATGCACATACTACATATGACTATATACATATGTTGGTATGGTTACTATAGTCATATCTTGTCTATGGACTAATTCATCTTGTGGATTATCGTGTGTCCCCCTACCACCCTAGTATGTGTAAAGGCTTAACCACGCGATAATCCACAAACATGTTCCATGTGTAGGCAATACTGTACTGTCTCACTGATCACGAACGAAACGCTAATTAGGCTTTAAGTCCACGCATCTTCTACACATGATATTAGATTGGAAAACATAAAAACTCCTTATCTTGTACTTCCCAAACCCTTAGGTAATATGGAAGAAGTTTCATATTTTTGTGGCCATTTTAATAAAGTTTTAAATTTCAACAAAAATTATTTTGTAAGCTATACAAATTGCTCTGTATAAGATTAAAGTTTTGTTCAAAATGTAGCCCCAATTTATGATTATAGTTTTCTGAATAACGCTTAAATCTAAAAAAATAATCATACCAAATTAATTTGCAAAAATTGTCATCGTTTTATCTTATATATTTAAAAATTACAAAAATATCTTTCTATAGACTAATGAAGTGATGATATACCAATGACCAAAAAAGAAAAAATTTCTAAGGAGCCAAGAATTAAATTTTTTTAAGATTAGTTAATATAACTTAATTTATTTTGAAGATAACTGATGGATATGTAATGTTAAATTAGTGTTCGTGCAAAACGGTAAATACGATAATGTCATTTCTAAGTTATTAAACCACATGGTATAACGCTGAAATACATTTTCATGTCTGATCAACAATAGGTATGTAATTGATTCAATTTTTATTTAACACTTTTGGCTTTAAAATGTTATATAACATTCATCATACATTTTTAAACTAAAAGCTTTTATTTTATACGAATTTATATTTTTAATACTTTAAATTTATATGATATTATATACATTATCTTCATCATATGTTTAATGTACTAATATATGATGTTTTTAAATTAAAATTTTTAAATTAATTTTTTTTTTTTTTAATATTTGGATGGAGCTTGTAGGTTTATGTAATAATATACATAAAACGTAAATAGTTACATGCATAATAAAATTAATACCATTAATACTCTTGTTCATTACATATTATTAATTTTCAAGTTAAGACACAACAAATCATAAAATAAAAGTTTAAATACTTCAAAATAAATATAAGCTATAAAGTATGAATAGTAAATTTAAATTTCTTGTAAATAATGTCATTAAATTACTACTACAATGAAAATTAAAATGTTCATATCGAGTACTTAAAACCATGAATAATTCAACCTGTCTTTAGACATTTTTCAGTTGTTTAAAGTATTTTTTATTTAAATTGAAAAAATTATCTTTGTAAGTTTAACATTAAGTCAGTGCAAGTATTTAAAAATAACTACCTATAAATTTAACAATTTTTAAAAAGTGAATCTCTGAACAAAATTTCAAAAAAAAATAATTTTAGTAGGATAGAATTAATATGATTATGTATTCACATATTATTGATAACATTTATACAATTTTTAAGAAAAAACATTTAAACTATTATTTTGTTCATTATTAAAATGTTCGTCTTTTAGAAACCTTTGGCAGCATTTAGTATCTATTGGATTCAACTTACAACTAATTTTTAATGAATATTATAATATTGGATAATGTATTACACAATGAAACATTTAAAGTTTTTAATATTCTTTAAAAATTACTAATATTCAGTTTAAATGTAAGTTATTCTTATTGTAAAATTATTTATTTCTTTTAAACTATAAAAGCAATAGTTTCTGCCAGTATAAATGAATGTAAGTACCGATATAAAGTTTCAAATTATGACGATAGTATTGTTTAAGTTATTTTATCTTTTTAACTATAAAATACCTACCTATATATTTTATTATAATAGTACTAACGTGTTTTTGTATGTTTCTTACACATTAAATATATATTATACTGTTGTTGTTTGCATTTGGATTTTTGAGATGTTAAGTATTAACGTTTAATGTGTATAGCCATATAGGTACCTAATATTTATAGAAGTAATAGTAATAAATACCTGTTTGATCATGTAAAAGTCGGTCCAATGTAACAGTATTATTTTTTTCAATCGCGTTATGACGATACTTGAAGACGTCTTTGCTACTAGACGCGCAACCCATGTGCACCCCATTCGCTCACTTATTCACCAGCCATTATTTTGATCACCATCAGGATGGCATGCTTAACTAATCTTCAATTCTCCACTCGGTTAATGACAGACAAAGCTATAAATAAAATCATCATGATAAAGTATGATTCAAACTATCTGCAGTGGTTTGATTAATGTATATAAGTAGTGAGAGGTATACAATTTTTAATTCTGTAGATTATGTATTTCATAAAGTGGTTAAAATTTATTATTCCAATGAAATAGCGAATCATTTTATGTTTCTGATATATAGATGTTGTTTTTAATATCGCAAGTTATTGTTTATTAAAAATTAAAAATTAATATATTTAATTTCAAAGAAGTGATCAAAATAGGTAGTTGAAAACTATGTTTCATAGACCACATAATTGTATAAAAGTGTAGGTAAGTACAAAAATAAAAATAATTCATCACATTTTTGCCAAGCATAATAATAATTATATTGGTATGGATTTTCCGTCCTCGTGGTGGACTATGCGGAAATGAATAAGTAGACTTAATGACCAGCAAAATACCTCATCTCATTATTCAACAAAAATAAACTTAACTACAACACCAGAGACACTTAATATTGCTAAAAGCAAAACAAATGGAATTATTTGCAGACCAATTTGAATAACACGTCTATTTATTACAAATAAACTCAGAAATGTAAAACTCAACATAAAAAATTAGAAGTACCATTCTGACATTAAAAGAAGAGTATTAAAAGGAAGTACCTAATTAGAACTTAAGTGAAAATATGAAAAACTCATCCAATTCTCTCATACCTTATCAACAAAGAATCGGCACCACATGCTGCGAATATTTTCATTCAGATACACTATATATTCTTGTATGCAAATAAAATCTCACAATCAAATTCATAGTGATCAACTGCCATAAATGCACCGAAACACATAGATCTATCAACGGTTCTGAATTCATCTCCGGTTAGTATTCAATTATGAAAATACCCAAGAATTTAAACATTTTTTGATAAAATAAACTTGAACCAAATACTGAAAAAATTATAAAAATGTTTTTTAGATGTTGTTAATTATATTTGTCTTTAAGAAAAAGTAGGCATTAATTTTGAACAATGTTGAACAATTACCAAACATTCAAAAAAAAAAAAATTTTCAGGTTAGTTAGGTTGAAAACTTATTTTAAAATATTTTTTAATATTATTAAATACATATATACTATATACTATTTTGGTTGAAAAATAATAAACCAAATATAACTAAAACCTAAGATCATAAAAAATAGAATGTTACATTATTATATTAAATTATAAATTATTATTAAATAAAAATATATTTAGAAAAAATCATGAAAAAAAATTTAAACGTATTTTTACAGAATATTTAAATATCGACTATACTACAATCATAATAGAGTATAGGTATAGATATTTATTTTTTATTCAACATGACAAATCAAAAGACGAATGATAGCAAGGACTTCCGATTACTAAAACCATTTATCTTGACTTCATAAAATCGACAAATACTATTGTGAAAATACATGTTGTAACACAACAGCTATAACTTTTCCATGACTCCGTGTAGGTAAAAACACTGTACACATAAACAAGTAGTATAATCCTACTCGTATTAATACCACTTTAAAACCAAGATATTAAAGACCATGACCTTTAGTTAGGTTATTTTACCTATTTTCTTTTAATTACTAGTTAACATTGTGTTTTGATGAAGAGTGAAAAAAACATCTTGGAACAAATTAAATACTTCTTAATAAAAAATCAAATTAATCTACATCAAAATATATAGGTAGTAAATAAAAACGTTTTAAACAATATAAATAATAAAAATAAATAATAATTCTATCATTAAAATTGACACTGAAAAAGAAACATTCATTAAACACATCTTACATACCTATATCATTAATTGGTACCGTTTAAGCCATAATTGTGAATTTATTTTATTTAGATTATATTGCATATATTTAGAAATATTTGGCACATATTTGTCTACTTCTGAGGGCTTAAGTATGTTGTGTGCTCATAATTTTTGGATTTTTAGGAGGAATCAAATAACTTCCGCAAACGTAATTGATATAGGTACTGGAAACAATTTAATACATTTTAATTAAGTTTAATCCCTAGGATCCTTTCCAGTAGAAATTGAACTTAGCTCGCTCGCTGGATTTCCCACAAGGTTGTGGTTTCTCTGTATACTCCGTGAATTTTTATAAAACTATATGGAGGAATCCCAAAAATTACCCTTGGAACATCTGTGCCTAAATCAATTTTAGAGAGACTATTTCATACTTTTAGAACACATTTTTTAGCCATAATAGTGATTACACAGATTTTCTTGGAATCTAAAATTAATATAACTTGACTAATTAATACGATTTCATAAGCAATTACGTTTAATATACGTAGTTCTAAATACAATATCAACATGTATATTTCACATGCAAATGTATGAATACAATAATAGAATGTTACTATAGAACAATATTTATTGTTGGTTCAACTAACTTAATATACACACACAGAATGTATTTGTAAAACAATTAACAGACATGTTTTCATTTCATTATTTATAGGTATAAAACTTTTAAACATTTTAAATATTAGAATATGAAGGTAGTAAATAGTTAAATGATGATTTTATTGTTAATACTTTTATTTTTGGGTTCACAATTTTGTTCTGTATTCTTATACGATTAACAGAACAATAAGTACGAGAACTATATTCATTAAAATCGAACCTTTACCAACATACCATTTTTAAGGTAAGTATTAAAGTATTTGAACACTACTCAAACAGTGAGGTGTTTTAAATTTTAACCAATTTCAAACATAATATTCATGTATTATATTAGGTTCTAACCTACCTATATGTGTTTCATGACTTTGACGTGTGGGTTTATTTATTATGTTCTCCATTTATGTTATCACAGTGGATCTAACAGAGGTCTACGGTGTACCCATAATATATAACTATTAAAGTCAGATCCGTTGATATAGACATTACTAGTAAAACATGAATATTACTATCATATAAAGGGAAGTATTTTAAATTTAAACATGAGCTGAATACATTATTAAATAAGTACGTGATATTACGCGCACAAGTATTTCATAACGACAGTTATTATTAACAATGATGATAGCTACCATATTATGATGAATATACCATTACGTAGGTATATATTATGCGATTTAGCCTACCTATATAATATATAAGAAACGTATACGGTTAAGATCGAGATTGAATAAAAACATTATATCGTTAATATTTATCACATAAGTACTATACAATATATGCTAAGATTGTATTTACTTGGATAAGTAAAAAACTATGTAGTATGTCACATATAGTTAGTTACTATATTATAATACTATATTATTATCTATTAAAATATACAAAATGTTGAAATAATTTTGTTCTATTAAATATATTATATACGTAAGAAATAGCAATTTAATTATGTTTTTGGCACAATTGAGCTAATGAGGTATATAGTTATAATGTAATAACGTTTTTAGGAATATATCATTCTTTATTTTAAAGAAAAAGTAACAAAATACTCATATGAACATATTTTTAACTTAATTATTCAACGAATAAGAACGCCCGATATCTGATGTCATCAATAATATTCTATATGATTATCAGTCGACAGTGACTTTAATAGTTATTTATTTATAATTTTCAATCAAGATTCGACAAAAGTAAAGTTGTAGTCATGCAATGTATTTAAAAACGACCGTTATTAAGCATTTGTTAGGTGTACAATATAATCATGATTTATAGATATCAAGTTCGAAAAGATTAACCTTTATATTTGTATGAGCATAGTTAACTATTTAATTTAGATAAAAGTCAAAAAAAATTAATAGTACCATTTAAACTGAATAATGTTAAAGTAATTAATATTATGTCTATTCTTAAAACCATTCTATAAATTTCACGATATATTATATAAGTGTTTAAAGTTCAAATTTTTTACAAAATTCATCAAAATTACCACAATTAACAAATTATCTTATAGGTAAAATTTAAATAACTTTTTTTTTAAGCATCTAAGGTTTGAAAATGTAATACAAGATTTCTTATAAGTATGTCCTATAAACACCTACAAATCTCAAAAACAAAATTGTGAAATATTTTATAGGAATTTCAAGTTTAAATTTAGATGAAATATTATTGTGAAGATGTTATTTTTTTAAATTTGTTTTTATATTTTTTTTTGGTGAAAATTAGTTCAACCTACCACATTATTAAATACTAATAGAACACTACATTACTATAATAACAACGTAAATATTAAACTGTATAATAAAATATCTTTAGAAATAGACGCTGACGAATCGTCTGCCACGGCTCATAATCATTGTTGGTATATTATGCAATGATTTATCATTTGATTCTAATTTAAAACTTCCATTATAGTGATCACTCGTATCTACTGTACGCAAGAACGAGTGTCTCAATTTTTTTATATTTATTAGATTCTATTATTTTAACCATGAATAAGCATGAATGTAGGTAATAAATATTTTAAATTGAATATTAAATATTAATGACATATTATAGATAGTGTGTATACATTTAGATACCAATATTTCAAGATGTCCCAACACCTTTTTTGTATAACAATAATGAAAAATATGTTCTCTTATTCATCACCCCATAAAAAATATTTTATTAATTTTGAATCCCAAAGCAATCAATTGTAGTATCATGCATTGTTTTATATCATTATAATTTTTTTATTTTTTGAGAATAAGTCTAGGCAGCTGGGCTACTGGAGGTAACATGGTTATTTGTTGCATTACGTATTTGTATGATAGACATTTAAAAAAACTCCCAGGATCGATCTAAGTGTACTAAAATAAATAGTAAAACAATGATCACAAATATGTTCTAAAATGATTTGAAATAAATTGTAATTTATAATAGTGATTACCATGGGTCCTACCTATATTCAACAAATATATTATAACCTCTCTGAGAAAATAAAAATACAATGGAACCTCGATAACTCGAACCTCAATAAGTCAAATTCTCGATAATTCGAAGGCCCCGGCCATATGATATGTGTGATAAATTT